AACAAAAGTAAAAATATTCTGTTCCTTAATAATATCATCATGACTCTCGAACTCGTATGCCGTAACGATACCAAACCAAATATGATGATAACAAATGAGACATACTAATCCACAACAAATACGACTTACTAATATATATATATTAATATTGAGGAGGAGTTGTTTTTTTCTCTCTCTCTCTCTCTCAAGGTAAAGCAATTTATTAATAAGGGAATAATATACAAGACCATCAGCAAACGGGTCAGTAAGCCCAAACAACAAAGCTACCTTCTAGTTCAACCCAACCCCAAACAAAACAGCCCGGCCCAAAATTTAAATCAATTTTGTCCCAAATTCAAAATCCAGAGCATCTCTCCTTCACCTCCATCGCAAATGAAGTTTGGCATGAGACGTTTTCCTTAGGGTAGATGATTGTTGCACTCCTTCCATAAACCCTCGGTTTGGTTTTCCAACTTAGGTATGTTTGAAATTGTGTTTGCTCGTTGGTAATTACGTAATTCAATAGATGGTGATAACATGACTGTTATAAGAAATAGAGTTTCAAATCCACGCTATGCTACATGCTATTACTAAAAACAAATAATCCTAAGGATCCATTTGGTTAGACGGAAATTTATGATGGAAAGTGAAAGTGAAAAAAAGTGAAGTAAAAGAAAGGAAAATCAAGTTTTCTACGTGCATTTTGGTTAGCAAAGAAAATTTTTCGAGAAAGTTGTGGGAAAATATTATTTTATTAGTTTGGATAGCATGAAAGGGAAAAGAAAATAATTTATTTACCAAAACTACCCTCATGATTTCAAATATTGAAAAATAAATTAATTTTGTGTTGGATGAATCATCTTTATATCCAATTATTTATATTAATTTTTAGCAATTAAATAGTAAAATAATGGATTAATAATAATAATTATTATTATTATTATTATTATTATTTATATTCATATTTAAATTAGACAAACTAAGGAGAACTACATTTTAGTTGTCAAATTCTTTTTATTTTCTGTTTTCAATAATAATTATTTATATTTATATGTAGAATATAATTCATTTATCATAACATACTCATGTTTTATCATAAAATAGTGGATTAATAATAATAATAATAATAATTATTATTATTATTATTCATATTAAAATTAGAAAAACTAGGAGGACTGCATTTTAGTTGCTAGATTTTTTTATTTTGTGTTTTCAATAACAATTATTTATATTTATATGTAGAATATAGTTCATTTATGATAATATACTCATATTTTATTGAATTATTAAATATATTTTTTTTAAGCCTCCTTAAAGAAACATTAAATGCAACTCTAGGATAAAAATTGTCATGCAAAAGTAACATATTTTATAATGATGCATAATAATTTTATGGTTCATACATAATTTATTAGTCCCCTTTCATATTTTTTATAAATATGAACCACTTCTATGCAAATTTTTCTTTGCAAAAATCACACAGTATAAAACTCAATTCAGTTCAAAACTGTATAGATAGTAGAAAATAAATATTATATGGATTTTCATCCATGTGAAATTGTTATGTCATTTAAATAATATGATAGACTCAAATTAATCTCTTCCCATATTTCTATTGAGATATTGATAAAAATTAAAAGTAGTTGTTGGAATATTTTCTAAGTCTGAATTTAATAACCAGTGAAAAAAAAAAAGGGAGAAACAACTAGGCATAATAGAAATTTTGGAAATAAAATGATAGTTTGGTGCGAGAAAGTAAACTTTCCTATGTTTTATGCGGGAAAATATTTTGGAAAAATTTATCGAGGTGGGAATCCCACTTTCCCAAAAATTTTCCCTTTCCAAGGTAACCAAACTCCCAAAATTAATTTTCTTTTCCGTTTCTTTTCCTTTCTACTTACTTCACGAATAATTTATGTTTTTTACTGTCAATTTCTGTAAAGTAAAAATAAAAATTATGTTTATTAATATAATTTTATTTTTTATTTTTTTAAAAGTACTTTCACGTTTAATGAAGGAAAAAGAAAGTAAATATTCGTTACTTTCCTACATGGTTCATAGGAACTACTTCTCTAATCTTTATATAATAAAATAAAAATTCCCAAAATTATTGTATCACCAATTCACCGTCGCCTCCACCAACACCGCTCCTCCCCAGCATGGCCACCACTACTGCCACCTCCTCCCATTGTAGCCATTGCCACTTCCTCCCACAGTCCTACGGTGGTGGTGGGGCTGTGAATGACTGTGGTGGTGGTGGTTGAGGAGGTGGGGACTGTGGTGGTGGCGGTTGAGGAGGTGGGGACTGTTGTGGTGTCGGGGCTGCCATTGTTGTTGTTGCAGGGTGGTGTGGTGGCGACGGCCGCAACGACATAGGCATAGATGGAGATTGAGAGAGATGGTGAATTAGGGATGAATTTAGAAAACAAAATTAAAATCATAATTATTGAACTTACTTTCTAATTTTTAGCTTTCAAAATATTGAAAGCAGAATAAATTATTAAACATCATTTTATTTTTTATTTCATCTAAAAAAGTAAAATCATAATTTTACTTTTGGAGAAAAGTGAAAATTAAAATCAGAGTGAAAGTTTTAGTTTTAGATGCACACCACTTGAGCTAAATGTTGACAGTTGTGATGGTGCTTGATATCAAAGTTGGGAATGTTTGAGTAATAAAATGAAGTGGTGTTCCAGCATCTACCAAATTGTTTAGCCTTGCATGTTCTATTTCTTGGTAGATTTGAAAATTAGGAATATAATGGATATAGCAGTTAATCAGAGGTTATATATGACCTTAAAAGCCTGACTCCACTTAGGTTCTTTTTGTGGACATCCCGCATAAATAGTCTGGCCCATGAGAACTTTGGAGCATGCTCAATGGCAACACAGTCAAATAAGACAAATGTTATTCTTCTTCTTCTTCAATTTTTCTGTTATTTACAATTGTATGTGTATCCATCCTAAGATCAAAGATTAATTTAGAATTTTGCACTAATAATGATATTTATAATCAATGTGTATAATTTGATTTTTGGCCAAAAGATTGCTAACCGTGGTTGAAATCAAGACCTTTCCAAAAATCACGAATAACTATAAACTATTAAGGAGACGGTCTCGGAGTCAGATTTGAAGAGGTGGTTCTACTCAATTACGCAAGTGCTCAAATGACCGTTACATATTCTATTTGATTTTATTCTTTTGAATTCAATAAATTGTGCTAATATTACTGTTTTATATTTTATTTGATTTTATAATTTTGCACGAATCAAAATTTGATATAAGAGAAGATTTGTGGTAATGTCAAGATACATTTGGACTAGAAAATTTCATATTCGAAAAAATTCAAAATATTTTATTTTCAAGTGCAGGTTTTTGTTGGTGACATTCTAAACTTAGTTATTTCATGCATAAATAAACGCTATCCCTAAACCTAAATAAATGTAGGTAAAGGAGGAGGGATGAAAGAAAGGGAAAGAATTAGAAACAAATAGGAATCCACAAGCTTTTTAGAAAATATAACAGCATCAACGGGCCAAAGTTAGTTGAGAAGTTGAAAAATATCAGTATTGAGAAATATGACATTGATGTACAAGTATTTATGTATATTTTGTTATCTTTTATTCATGATGTGATAATAGAGGTGTAGTTTATAAGACATGCAAGTAAATGAGCTCCCACCCAATTTATATAGGATAAGCTCTTTACAATAAATATACACATGTTTCTAGATTTAATGCTAGGAAAATTAGTTTCTAGAATACCTCAAAAAAAAAAAAAAAAAAATAGCTAAAATATTTTCAAATCATTAGAGAACTCCAAACTATGCTATAGAAGTATATACATTTCTATACAAGTGTAACTAGTTCTAGAACAGTAGAGTCATGCAGACATCGAGGGTCAATACAACAACAACAAAATTCATTAATTGTAAAGAAATTAAAGTCATATGAAAATTCAAATTTATTAATTTATAGGTATATGAAAATATAAATATAAATTACATATATATGAATTTATGATATTTGTCCCTTTAGCTTTTTATTTCGTAATATCACTAGTTCACCGCACTTTTAAAAATGAAAAATGTTCACATCTGATTTTTCAAATTGGTGATTACACTCATGATTTGTAGGTAAAATGAGTACTAATTGAGTGGAGACTAAATTCATTGTGAGAACAAATGGAATGCAAACAAATTTACCAATAGGCCAGTGGCTTATTGAGATTAAGTTTCTATTTTTCAAAGGGAGGTCAGGGGTTCGAGTCTTGGTGGAGACATATGTGTGAGTACCAATTAAGAGAAAAAAAAAAAAAAAAATTGAAAAAAAAATTGTGCTAGGACACACCCTACAATAGTGGACAGTTGTACCACGTCCGACACGTGTCAAAGCATGAGTGGTCCAATTTGTTAAATAATTGGACCATGCAGGCCCTCACCTTTAACTCTCCAATCATGCACCTAAAAATACAAGAATCGTCTCTCTCAAGAAAGGACTTTCAATTGTCATATGTGTGTGTATGTGCATGTGAATAGACAGTGTCTTCTCTGCAATATTGCATATAAATCATACTGAATTTGAAGAGAAATGAAATTGGTGGGGCATGTGGTTCACAAATACAGAATGGTCATAGTTCTAAATTAGATGTGATGGTCCTCAATTGGGTCATAGACTCTCATATGAATGGCTTTTGAAATAGATGGTATAGGCCACTAAGGAATATTCCTGTTAGTATGGCTTTCTTATAGCAACTCTCTCTACTATACTATACATTCATGCAAATTAATTTTATCATGCAATGAAATGCTAAAGTTGTAGATAAAGATAAGAGTAGCTACAGTATGTATTATTATCATTCATATATATATATATATAGCATTATTAATGTTTTTTTTTTTTCTTTTTTTTTGAAAAGTCAAGCAAACACATGCATCCACTTGTAGTTTGGCCTCGCCAGGGCACCAACACTCATCCTCCAAATTAATGTTAATAGGATGGAGATATAAAGTATTGCTCCTCTTGTACCATGCACCTTTACACCTATATATCAAATAATTAGTCTACTCTAAACCTAGCTTCTTACCTCCATTACACTCAAGAAAAAGGAATGGAACTTGTGGTCCTCAAACACTTCTTTTTCACAACCCTTGGCAAAGTTTAACTTTCTTCTTGTCTATACTATTCTCAATTTTCATTTTATTCTCTTGTACCAAGAAATGGAAGCAAGCAAAGCTCAAGGGAAGATGAGAAAGATATATAGAATGAAGGAAGATAAAGTACAGACGGAAGAGGAGGAGGAAGATGATGATTTAGGGTTGGAGTTTAGAGAGGATGACAATAGTAAATCGACTTCATCTGGAAAGAAAGGATCCAGTGGAGGAGGATCAGCACAGCCTTGTTGCCAGGTGGAGAACTGCATTGCAGATATGACTGATGCCAGGAAGTACCATCGCCGGCACAAGGTCTGTGAGCTTCATGCCAAGGCCCCAGTTGTTGTCGTTGCCGGACTCCAGCAGCGTTTCTGTCAGCAATGCAGCAGGTTGGGAAACCCTATTTGTCATTTCTAGCTTGTATCCCTCTACTTGAATTATCTGGCTATAAATTTTTCGGAGCTCTAGAGCTGCCTTAATTATATGGTTACTTAGTTTGCGTTGAATTAAAAGGATGTGTGCTAATTGAACTTGTCTGTTAAAGCAGTAATCCTTCAATAAAGTATATAATGTTTTTTTGGCTAAGGGACAATGGATTTTGATTCTAAATGTTTTTTTTTTAGAAATTCTTTCATACTGCGCGCACGCGTAATAGAGGGAAATATAAATAATTATGAAAAGGAACAATTTATTTGAGCGGAATAAAAATTTAAGATTCGTGTAGCCAACCCTAAATTGTTGGAAAAAAGAGGCTTAGGTTGTTCGATGTCGGACTAATTGATTCATCTATCTAGATCAACTATTAATATCTTTTGATGCATTACACACAGGGAAGGAATAATTTATATTTATCTCATTAATATTTATTGTTAGATGAAAGATTCACTTAATGCATTACACACAGGGAACTACAGTTATTATTTTTTTTCCCCAACATTTGCCTAATTCTCCCCAAAATAGCAAAAGCATATCACAACATAATATGGATAACTCCAAAAGTAGTGCCTACTTATAACAAGACCTTTTGTCAGACGTCTCATGGAAATAAAATGATAATAACATTTTACATAACATTTAAATTTTACTTTTGTGTAATAGCATTTGAATTGAAATTTTGTTAGTTGCAGCTAGAAGATTATGTTTAAATTACAGTGAGATGTGTGGTTTGTGCTTTTAAAGGTCACAAAATCATTATGGTGAAACCATTTTCTGCACAGATTAATACTTCTAAGTGGTACACCAAATGAAATCTGATTCTAAACTTCTATCTCAATCTCTGTCAATATAGTTTTATTTAGATTTATATTGGTTAAGCACATTAGTTAAGTAGTTATCATACTGACTTAGACAAAGAATTAGAACAAGAGAGAGAACCTCGTACATACCTTCAGTTCACCCTTCTGACATTCTGCAGGTTTCATGAACTGAAAGAGTTTGATGAAGCTAAAAGAAGCTGCCGCATGCGTTTGGCTGGACACAATGAGCGTCGCCGCAAAAGCTCATATGAATATCAAGGAGAAGGATCAAGCTGAAAAGGGGATATATTAACCCTCAATAAAATTAAGGCAAATCAATGATTTAACATTGTGATCACTAGGATGCTCTCTCTCTTCTGTCAAATTTTTAGAATATTTATTGTTGATCTTTCATATATGTATAACGTATTTCGAACCATAAAGCCTAACAGCTCTGTGGCCATCAATTTTGGTGCAGTGTACTGTTGGTAGCTGTGTATTCCCTTTGGTACTCTATATGGTAGTAATTCTTGTTCAATCCATATGCAATCCTTTGTCTCTGTCACTGACTCACTCGCCATTTCATTCTTCTTAGAAGTTAAATTTTATCTCGAGGTCGGAAACTAAAAATCTGGTTTTAGCAAAGGGTTCGATTGATCTCCTCAAGTTGCTCACCAAGTCCACGAGTGCTGCTCTTCCATAACCTCTCTGCAGTTGTTCAATAGTACATAACTGGCAGATAGTAGGGATTTGTCTACTTTCTCCTTATTAACTTTTTTTCCTAGATAAAGCTTGTATTACTTGAATTACTTCTATATATACACACACATGTATATATATTTGTATTAGTTGCCTTCAAACTATCTAGTTTTCTAGTCTCTTATCTGCACAATGTGTGAGGTATTTGTCTAATAATTCTTGATTGCTTAGTAACATTCTTTCGGCATAATCATAAACTATTTATTTACCAATGAAAAGTATAGATCTTTGATTTTTCTTTTGGAAGCAACCCTCCCCCTTTTCCATGATCTCAGGCAGAATGAGTCACATGAGCATAATGACTAATAGGAATGACAACATCCAGGATTAATGTAAGATATGAAAATATATATATATATATATATATGTAAGATATGAAAAAGAACATCATATTAATTAACTAGAACTATCCAAAAAAAAAAAAGCAAAAAAAGGAAAAAGTAAGAACATACATACCAGAAATCTACAGAGAGCCATTGAAGCTTCTTCCATTAACTGTATTTAGCCTTCGATTGTTAAAGTGGAGTTGAGATAGAAAATGCAAATGCACCAAGTGCCGTGCCATCAAGAACATCACCTTTCACGTGTGCCTGTGCCTTCATCCATGCAACAAGAACATCATCATAGGTTTTTCATACATGCCAATAGTTCATGTAGGCACCTCTTATATAATTCGAATCATATATATTTCTTTCACTATGTTTGCAAAACGAAGCAACCAGACCTCTTAATACTTTTGTTGCCTTCCACTGAACATGTTATAGAAGATACTCCGATAAACAAGAAAAAGGAGGTCTCGACAAGGATGTTCAAGATTGCAAATGCAGATCAAATGCTTCAAAATTTGGTATAGGTTGCTTTACAAAGTAATTAATCATTTACAAACCTGAAAGAAGATGACATTTACCTTCAACAGCTACCACTAGGGGCCATAGTCCTCCAGGAAGGACCCTTTACTGACGAAGATTCAATCATGTCATCATACATATAAACATCTAAAGGAAATTGTCTTCAGGTTCCTATATTTGATTTAAATCATATACAAAAACGAGCCCAATCCTTTTTTCAGTTGATCAATAAAAGGTGAAAAATAAAATAAAAATAAAAATTTTGATCCCAGTGCACAAGAACCCTTGTGGCTGGAGATATCTTTTAAATTATATACTCAAATTGGAGACAGGCCTAACAGAAGAAAGCCCCATGTAAAAAGCAATTATCGGATTCATATGCAATTGGGTTACTGTTTATATTTTGTAAGCATTAATCTTTACTATTATATCAAGCAATAATTACTCTGATTTAGCAAAAAGGTCTCTCCCATGGAAAAATAGACCACTTCCTAATTTCAAGCATATCCTTGTGGTTTAAGCTAAAGCAATACTACCATGGATCAAGATAGCGTCAGGCACCATGACAACAAATAAATGGCCCTAGATTCATCGAAGGACTTGTGACACATACCCTCAATATTTGGAATATTACGGCTTGTAAATGAGATTTTGCTTTTGTAGCTCCATTTCTTTTTTCTTTTTTCATAATATCACAATCATGGAATGTTGAATCATGACTTCAAATGGAATTGGAAGAAATTGAATTAATGGCGTTTCCATAGAACAATTACAGTTATGTTACAACCATAATAAAACTACAACTTTCAATTCAAAGAACTCGATCTTTTTGACTATTTATTCTTTTTTCCTATGTAAAGTCACTTCAGAGATATTCCAATATAGAAGGGCTTTGAAACAAAATCCCAGTTGCTGGTGATACCCTTCTTATTTGTTCATAAGGGAATTGCTGGATGGTCATAACTTACTGGGAATAAACTTGGAAGAAATTCTTTCCACGTTGCCAAGTTGAGCTGTCCTTTTCAGCATCTCATGTCTTTCGGCTATAAATTTTGCAAATCGCGAACCCTTCCCTTCAGTGTTGTTATCTCCTGGTAGTGACTCTGGCAGATTAGGCAAAAAAGGACCTGGCTTCGGAAATAATGGTGGCACCAATGCCCATACTGAAGCAAGGTGTTCATTAGGTTTGTCCAGATCTTCTAAGAGTGATAAATCCTGCATGTCTGTCGGAATAAAAGCACACAATCAGTACATTCAAATAGCATACCTCGCTGGATACTTCAAGCAAATTCATTCAGAAAAACCAGGATACAGAGAAATCCCATGGAATCAGAAAGATCAATTTTTTATATATATATATACAATAATCATTTTACTTTTTGCTTTACAACATATGCTTTTCAACCCAAATTTCTCATATGCGGGGCACATTGCAGTTCCTTGTGGTAAGTAATTAAACATATGTTGTAGGCAATTGAATTAGAGCATCGAAATCATATGGAAAACAAATTAAAACCATTCAATTGCTCACGTCATATCTGATGTAGAAATTGCCAAAGCCTATATGGGCTGTTTGGATGCCAAAAACCCAAACGACGCGGCTCAGTTTCTGGTGCAGTTTCAATGAGCCCAGTTTGACCTAAGAGACCCATTCACGATAGAAAACAGCCCAACCATCTATACTCACCAGTTATGTTCGTATCATTTTCGTCATTTCAGGCCCTCTCATTGCGTTTATCTGTCCTATAGGAGAGCTATCATTTTTTTTTTTGGATTTTTGTTAAAGATCAAAATGGACAAGGATTGAAATGATATTTGGTATTTATTTTAGTTTAGTGATTAGGATCTCATCCTTATTTTTTTGTGATTTTTAGAGAGAGTGCCAAATGGGCTGTTTTTAGGATTATATTCCTTATAAAAATAATAGGTGCAGGTTCAGCAATCATTATTCATCAAAACCAGATGATAATTCGTTTTTTTTAGAACTTAGTGGATTCAAAGTTATTCATCTCCAATTTTTATCAACCTTTTGCTTCATTAGTATCCAAAACACAAATATGGCTAGATAACCTGTTGAGAACTTGAAGATAGGCTCCAGAGCTGCACATGGAATGCTGAAGTTCAAATGTGGTATCACAGCCCCTCCACCGTGTTTTGCATTGCTGTATCAAGAAATCATGTCATTAACTATGAAGTTCAATCTGCAAGCATTAAACAATTTATATAGATTAACAGCAGCATTCGAATTTTCAAAAAGGAAAATATTAAATGAATAATAACAAAAGAAACATCATATGATTCTGTCTTAGCATAATTTTTGTTTTCTTTTTAAAAAATAATTTGATCATAGCATGTACTGTGGTACAAGAAACATCATGTAGTTCTATAATATCAACATTGCTCCCTGCATAGAAGTTATACTGGAGTATGATGCTACTTGTCTTAGAAAAGAAACATGATGTGATTCTCTAATAGCATAATACAGATCAAAGTAGCGTCACAGACCAATTTAGGTACCACAATCATATGACTCAAAGTATTATAAGAAACATTACACGGATTGTGGGAATTGGCAGCAGCAAGTTCATATTAGAATAATAAATAAAGACAAATGAGATGACTTTCGCATCTCCAGCAGCACCTCTTTAAGTTAAATATCATAAACCAATTAATCATCAATAACAGTGCAGCCAACATAGGAGGGGAAGAGAGCATCTCTTGTTACATTAACACGTGCTTTATGAAAATGGCGGAAACAACCCTTTGAAACCACAATGTGATTTGATGTGATTTGGCACGGAAAGGACACCAACACGTGTCTCCCTTCTCAACTTGCAGAAAGTAAAGGTGTCAAATAAGCCCACTTGTCTCATTTTTTATACCTTTCATGCAATCCCCAAAATCCACTGTTCAGGTAGTAAATCTAGCAAATCCAGTCTTTTCCATTTGAAACGGTAGTTGCAATTTTTAATAAATGCAGCATTCAGCTTGCAGGATAGGGCCCGAAATTGATTATATCTACATAATTCGAAAGGTTTATTTGTTTATTCTACTACCATATCTGGTACTCTCAAATTGTTATCTTCCTTTCTTTTCAGATCTTTATAGAAATAGAAATAATTACATTCGTGAGATAGTTGGAGTAGCACCAATTGCAGATAAAATGAGAAAATTCGGTTAAGATGGTTTGGACACGTGCACAGAAGACCTTTAAGTGCACAAGTTAGGAAGAATGACATAGTCCGCATCGAGGGTAATACAAAGGTTATGATAACATATGATTTGATTGAGACCATTGGCCTTAGGATAGAGCGGAATGGAAAAATAGGATTCATGTAACCAACCACAAGTAGTTGGGAAAAAGGCTTTGGTGGTGGTGGTGGTGGTGGTTGTATCTTCCTTTGGCTCTGTGAGAATGCACAATGAGAACAAACACTATCTTGACCTCCAAGATACATGCAATCTTTTCTTTTCCCTTTTCCTTTTGGCCAGACAATTAATGCATTTTTATAAAATAACTCCACCTTTGAGGAATTTGGATGCCAACGGGAAATGAAAAAAAAAATGCAAATTCCATTCCCAACCCACATGTGTTCGTAATGGAATAGCCAAGATGCTAATTTAGGGAGGGGGGAGGCGATGGAGTAAACATAATGAGCTGATTTCATTTCAGTATTGTTTATATATGCCCCAGTTGTAATACAGTTGCGACTGAGTGAGCCTATCAGTAGCTTGTTGAGGCCATCCTTGTTTGATGATAAGGCCTAGTGATCATCACAATCCAGTCTCCCCAAAAGCTCAAAACTAACTTCATCAGTAGCCTGCTAAGTGCTGACCCTGAAGCAGCCAAAAGAAATAGACAACAATACAGTTGACCCTCTCGTAATTACTATTCAATAACTCAATAATTGTACTAAACGACATCTGGAAGAACCAACTTGATTGGTAGTTAATTTATAATTCTATTACAAAATGAAAAGTGTATTATATTAATTACTACTCCCTCTGTCCCACAAAAAGTGTACCTTTTTGGGAACCTAAGTTTTAAAGAGTGTAGTTTTTAATGTTTTTTCATTATAGTGGTAGGGAATGAATTTCCAAATATACTCTTCTTTGGTGGGTCCACATGAGGTCATTACTTTTATAACTTCAAGGCAAGAAGGGTAAATTAGGAATATTAAAAAAATAGTACATTGAATTTTGAATTGCGACAATTATTTTGCAACAGCCAAAAATGGAAAGGTGGACACTTTTTGTGGGGCGGAGGGAGTAAATTGGAAATGTACATATAAATACAAAATCTACATAAGAAATTCTAAAAATATTACTATATTTCATGTTTTAGCCATTGAAAATATCGACCAATCAGTAAAGGAATATTAAGAGTAGAGTTAGTAACTATACGAGATATATTTATTGTTTGTGAAACTGTTGGAAGTATTGTTGCAAATATAGCTAGAACGTCCCTCACAAATTGTGAATACTATGTATTCTTCATTTTATGTATGCATGAATTTTTATTTTTATTTTAAATTTTGCTAATCCATACATAAATCTGTTAATTAATAAATCTAATGTCTCCCATTGTAATCAATTATTTGAGGGTTGACTAAGATGATGTAATGCAGGAATACTATCACATCAACAATCATTTTGATTTTCTTCTGAACAATTTCAAATATCATACCTTGTAACAAGGCCAATCATATGACCATCTGAATTAATAACGGCACCGCCACTACCACCAGGATGGACAGCTGCTGTTGTTTCAAGCATTGCTGGAAAATGTCCTACATTCTCTTGTGTACTAGATTGCTGGGGTGAAGGCATTTTGGCTTCAACTACTTTTGCTACTGCACCAAGGGAAGCAGATGGGGAAAAGTCTGATGCAAAGTTCAAAAGAAAACCAGATGCAAGAATTTCAGCACCAAATAAAACCAAAATATAATTGGCAATAAATTATTGTGTTATTTATTATAAAATAAAAAATAAAAATAGCAAGACCCAAAAATACCACCAGTTGATATAATAAGAAAGATACAATAGAGTGTGGTTTAATTGAAGTTATGACCTTAGATAATGCATAATGGCGAAATACGATTTCTGTAACTGCACCAAAAAGTTATGACAAGTTTTTGTTGACTTGGGTCTAGTATGATGGTTTGGGCATATTTGGAAATCCATTGGAAATAAAAATCAGTCCCATCTCTTTCCCATTGTACTTCCCCTGCCAGCACGCTGTCTAGGCAAGAATAGGAATGCACTTTATTACTTTAAAGTAACCCCTCTGGAACCATGTCCCATGGGAGTGGTGTGGATGCTGGAACTTGACAGGTCTACAGAATTTCGGGTTCAGCAAAGTTTACAAAACGGAATCCTTGTTCAAGGCTGTATATCTTATCTTAACTATATGGCTCAGAAAATTTATGCCCTGATATCATGATATTACAAAACAAAATATATCGAGTAGTGTAGGATCAAGACGATTACAAATTTTGGTTAATTTTTTAAGAAGTTTTGACTGCTAAGCGTTAAATAGAGCTTTGAGTTCCAGAGAAGCCACTCTGTGCCAGAAATAATAACAAATCCACCCCTCCCAATACCCCACATTGACAAAGCTAATGGCCTACACGCACCTAATAGTATCATGTTGTTTGCTAACAAACTTGAAGGTCACTCTCTTAAGGATCTTAACAACTATGAAAAGTACAAACAAGAAAGAGGATAAGACCTTTAAGATGTCATGTCAAAATAAAAATATAAAATCTTTAACCGAGTGTCTAAATCTTCTTCAAATGGGTACTTGAGTAGAAAAGTCCAAGCAATAAAGGTCTTGATTCTCTAGAATGATTCGAATGAAGTTATTTCATAGAAACAATCCATCCAGACTAGAGTAGATAAAAATTAATATGACTTTTCATGTTATATAAATATATAGCCCTCTACATGCAAAGAAAACAAGGAAATGTTCCCATTTCCATTGAATACCCAGGCTTATGAAAAAGAATATACATATATATAAGCTAAGCAAAATGTTTACCACATCTTGGTCCAAATATTCCATGTCCAATGACAAATGCCTTTGATCCTGGGGATGGGAATCTGAAGTCCATAACAATGGGGCAAAGCTTATCTGGAACAAAGTCAAGCTGCAATAGAGCAATGTCCAAAGGACCTTTAGAAACATACAATACCCTAGCATTGCACCATATCCAGGGGTCCATATGATCCAAGCGAACACGTATGCTCCTATGGCTTTTGTTGGTCACACTAAATTTATATTGGACACGGTCATCATTTACCGAAGAATCTGCAGTCTTCAGTCTTCCAGTCATCAAACCCTGACTCCTCTGGTGGGCACCAACTCCCTCATGCTCTGGACGAGCAAATTGATCGGATGGGAGGGAAAATATCTCTGATTTGGTTTCATATCTTACACCACTTAGAGGTAATTTCCCAAACCTCCATGGCTCCAGCAAGTGAGCATTTGTAAGAATCAGACCTTGGTTGTTGAGCAAAACACCGGATGCCCATACTCCGTTGTCAACAGTTACAAGACAAATTGAAGCCAATGCCTTCTCAACAGGTGACTGTAGAGGGAAACTGGAATCACAATGCCCATGAAACTGATTGGTGAATCCATAAAAGCCAAGGCTGTTAGATAGAGATGTGTTCCCTACAGCATTTAACTTTCCACTGTTATAATGGATCCCTTTCCATGCATTTTGAGGCTCCTCCTGCAGCAAGTCACTGCAAGCAGTTGCAATGGCTTCCCACGGAATCACCAGCTGTCATCCAAAGTCACCATTTTGCATAATGCAGTACATATGAGAAATTTTAACATTCTATTATTTAAAAACCCATAGTATCTAATTTCTTTTCAAGCAGCGAACTTAGTTACAGTATCTACTACTAATAATACTTAATATGACTAGTAAGTCATATTTTTGGAGTATATTGGTATATGTTGGATATAAAAACATACTTTCAAATGGATCTCTAGTTAAATACATGCTAATATAATATCCACCAATATAGATAATTAACATAAGCCTCAATTATAAGAAATCAAGAGGTACTTACCGTTTGGAAAAATAAAATAAAATCAAGAAGTACTTTAGATGACATTTACATAAAGTTACATTCTATTAGTTTTGTTGATGAGTGGAGATGGAAGTATCACAACCGATGTAGCATAAATACCAGGTGGAATGAGACTGATTTGTAAGGGAGACAAAATGGCAATGTATTTTTTTGGAAGGTAAAAAAAAATGGCAATGTCAAGGTCACCACAAACTCCTCAATGCAGGGCCTTACTAAGGGTTAATTTAAGTTTTGAGAAGTCTGATCAAGCCTTATGTCTCAAATGCACCGGGGTCAAAGCTAGTTCTCAGGTCTTCTGCAAATGTAGGGCAGAGGTCTATTTATAATTTATAAGAGCAAGGACGTGCTCATGGCGATGTGGTGGTCTAAAGAGGTTATGCCACATGTCTTTAATGAGCTGTACGTATCTAATCAGACATGGTAAGGTCGGGATTGCAACTATAGGGATCGTTGTTGCAACAACAGGGTGGCATGGAGGTAATCCCTTGGGAGGTAATCGTACATAGATGAGGTGTGTATATTGCATGGACTCTTCAAAGTACATGAGACACTTGTATCAGAGCACACGAATCTTGGATATGGGTCCAGCACATCTAGATGGACATGCACCTAGACAATATATGCAATATGTTGAAGTTAAATAATTATACATAAAACTATCATTTTATGATCTTTTTGTCATAATAAAGTACTATGTCGAACACTTTATGTTACTGGAAAACAGCTTTTATCATAAGAAATAAGAGAAAAATATTAAATAACATAAACATTTACTTCCTTGTATTTTTGGGTTTGAGTAATAAACCTAACACTTTTAAACACATACCAGCACCCAACACATGCACCCAAATCCATTTAACTTAAGAGGTAGTCTAATATGTGGTAGTCCAAGGTGGGCATGACAATAGTCATGCATCAAACTATAAAAGCTTCCTGAGTCCTACACCCAACCGAGGCAGAACATGAGGTGTATCAAGATGCTGTGATGCTCAGATATGTTTCTGGAGCAGCAAGGCTTATCCAAGAAGAAGAGGTTCTCACTGCAAGGCTTATATGAGGAAATGAAGTTATCGTTAAATAATGTATATAATTGTAGAGAAGGAAGCAAGACCCATCTAAGGATTAAAAATCCTAGCAACAAGGCTTATCATGAGGATAATAGTTCCTCACCATCTTTACAGCCGCAACGAGACTTATCTGAGGAGACAGGCTTCTCACAATATCATGCAGTACATGTGGAGAAGGCTAGGCCCTATTGGAAACCTTATATTCCTGTGAAGAAGGGAGTGAGGTTTGTCTGTAACCAGATTCATGTTGATAATGTAAGAAGATCGTAGAATGTTTGTAGAGAGACAGGTTCACCATTATGTAGAGAGACAGATTCACCATTAGAGAAGTACGCATGGAAGCCCCCCGTTGCAAACTACAAATCTAATAAGAGATAATGAGCCTGTAGAGAAGGCATAATATAGACGAGCTGATGAAGAGACATAAGATAATCCTATCAAATATAACCTATGAGTTCGCAGAGAGGTCTAATATAGTAAGTGTGTGGGAAATAATAAAACTTGATGGCAAGACAGGCCCATATGAGATTCTTAACAAGGATCATAAAATAAGCTGTCAATAAACATGCTGAGAGTAATAAAATTAATAATAACTATTATAGATAAGCTGGCAGAAGCCCGTTGAGGACGTGTTGGTACAATCTATCGTCCCCTACCATATGCAATAGATTACCTCCACCCAGTCAATAGACTCAAGGTCATGCAGATCATAGAGAGAAAGAGTCTGTGATTTACTCAAGGTCATGCAGATCATAGAGAAAGAGAGTCTGTGATTCTCATTACTTAGGAGGATACTACATCCCAAATTAAAAGACACACGGGCCATAATGAGTGTCATGTAGGAGAGGTAGAAATGCCATGTAAGCTGCCACCTCAACACCATGTGGTGAGGTAAAATGTGCCAACTGCCAACTATATCCCCCGTGTAGTAAGGAGCCCTGTATCCACATTTTCTAATGACAACATGATTAAGGTTATTTTTAATGCGTGTAGATATAATTCTGACTTCTCATGCTTTCTCCAATATGCAGTCTTTGAGGATTCAGTTTTAATAGTGGGGTTTTCCATTCATTTCTGTTTATAATGCAGTAATTTGTAAAGGTATACAAAACAAATACAAAATAGTATGGGCCTACTATAAGCCTTATGGGGATAGGTTGAGGGCCATAACATCTATCTTATTGAATATCAGGGCGATTGGTCAAACTGTTTTGGTTGTGCTTACCTAGCCTTGAGGTTGGTGAAGGCATTTCTAAATGGTTAGTTCGCCTATCCTTCCAGGCTATGAAAGGTTCCTTGCCTCTTCGAGTAAAATTTTTGAGCTTCTTTTTATGTCCATTATACTCTCTTTTTTTCTTTTTTCCCAGTTCTAATATAACCCAACTTGCCTGACAAAAAACAAAAAATGTTTTCTGATGAGAAGAAAAAATAATTTTAATAAATGATATTTCTAAAACTAAAATAAAATGTGTGCCCCCCATGCATGTAGTTATAAGAGGGCTTACTGCAAGCATGGAGAAAGGTAAATGTTCCTGAGTTACCTGAATTTCAGCACCACTGCTCTTCTGCCTTAACGGCTTTGTCAGAACACCAATAAGTTGAGATTGTTCCCCAAAAACTGGACCACCTTCCATCCCTGATAAATTTAGTGTCAGAATGCAATCAGATTCAATAGTATTAAATGAACCATGGATGTCTATCAGGGGAATGCTTGTACCAGGAAGGCACCGAATATCAGCCATCAACAATGACGTAGTGGTAGAACTAGATGGATAGCAGTTGGCAACAGATCCCACTGATATACTGTTTCAATCAGCAAAAATATCAAAGATTTAACACCAAGATGCGACTTTTTTGGTGATAGCACAAACAGGAGAAGTTATCAGCAAACAGCAAAAGGTTGTTACCACTAATTTTGACTTTAAAGATAAGATGACTACAACTTTCTTCTCTTGTTCAGTTCTATAAAGATCAGTATTCTCGGTTTGTGGACTAAATTCAGTAACATTTACCAAGGGAATGACAGAAAAGAGTGGGGAAGAGTCTGAGTCTCACTCATGTATGACAATTGTTCCAGAAATCAAGCGGAGAGAGAGAAAGAGACAGACACAGAGATAGAGAGATAGAGGCAGTCATCTAGCTAGGGGCAGTAGGGAACAGAAGGAAACAATTTCCCTGAAGACACCTATTAATAATTCTATACATAAACTTCAAAAACTTTTGGCACTGAACCTCTATCTATATAAGAAGAAGAAGAATAAAATAAAAATAATAAATAATAAATAAATAAATAACCAGAAACTATACCTGTTAAAAAAGTGTAGAGGAGACAAGACACCAAAAGGAGAACCCATTGCCAGAAGAAGATGTCCCCTCTTGTTTGAGGGAGATATATTTAATTTTGGCCGATCCTAAATAAAATTGTATAAGCTGTTATTCTCATGAATAAGCAACTGAAATGCATAAACAGAATACAAGCAGAAAATGTAAATCTAACTCGGAAATATACGGTTATACATGGTATACTACAGATCATTCACTATGGTGGAAAGCTAATAACGAAGATGAAAAAATGAAAATACCTTGACAATTATTGAGGAAACTCCAAGAAGGGCGATTCTAGTAGTAGACAAGTTCACAAGATTTGGAATGTTTGATTCTCCTCCTAACATGTGCCTCTTATTATGCACTGAAGATTGCTCAACCTGAAAGAACAATTGAAATTTGTATTACCTGACAAACAATAAGGTCACCTACGATGTTAAAGTTTGAAATGCATTTGGGATTACCATCTCTTATGGGGTTTCCATCACCTAAGGAAAAAAAAAATTAAAAAAAAAAGTTTAAATCTGCTTGTAAGCATATTAACCATAGCCTTGGTTTGCTAAGTCTAACAAGTAGTGGTCCGTTTTCAAATCATCATGAAGCCAGATTCCTTTCTTACAATGCTTAACACTAATAACATTTAGAAATTGTCCCTATTTTGCATCATAACCTGAGACAAGCCAATTTGATTCATCATGTCAATTGTTTTTGTACTGTCAGTATACTTTTCATTTGACCAAACAAACCCTATGTAACAATTTGCTTTCACCCTTGCAAACATCAACTTTTGACAGAGCAGGAGCATCAATGGAACTTCCAAAGAAATTTCTACTTTTATCAAAGCATGTTGGCATTCGGGTTGCTGCTAGCCTTGTAATACAGCCCACCGTTTTTCATTAAATGACCTGTAAGACACCACTGCCACGAAATCACAAGTATAAGCAGACAGGAACTCAGCAACAAATAATTCCGATCACTATGCATAGATGGTGAGTGGTGCTTAGTTAAGTACATCAATAATGGATGTCTTCAGTAAATGAGAGTTTCCCATTGTCATCCATAACACCAGACCCCCCACCTGATTCCATCCAGATACCACATCAAAGAGCAGACCCGCATGAATGGGTTATTATCCTGTACAAGCTCTAGAATGTGCCAGCACCTGGAAGGAGCCTAGCATGCATAACCCAGGAGGTAGCAGGTACCATATAAAGAAGATGAGTGTAATTATATTACATCAGATCTATCCAAAATTTAAATCCAACAGCACAAAAAAATAATAATAATAATAAATTAATTAAATTAAATTAAAAAATAAAAAATAAAACCAGCCTAGCTTATGGTAGAAAGAATACCATGACAAGCTAGTATGGACCATAATAAGATACTGCAAAGGATTTCACAAAGATATCAGCTATCATGGTATTCAAAGTCCAGAGAACGCTTGCATTATCATGAAAATTTGCTTATACTTGCCAATGAAAAATAAATAAATAAATTTTCTTATGGGCATATTAAATTTGCAGTGCCTCCCGAAAAAAATTGTTAGGCATGTTAGTTAATCTAACATCCACTTTTATTTCATAGGATAAATTATTGGGTAACCTGGGGTACCGACAATGTAGTACCCCCGGGGCAAGGGTGGCAAATAATTTCTCCTTTTGTAGGACCAAATATGAGACGGGATGGAAGTAGCATACTATTCAACATGATCAAAGCACATTCCACTATTTTACCTTACATTTTTTAGCCAAATTATTACTTCTTAGAGGGATAAATAACTATAAGCCATCAAATATTTGATGATGGCATTAGTTGTTAGAATGATTAGTATTTTTCTTCATTTAAAGAGCAAAATAGAGATGTTTATTGAAGGCTAAATACCTGTGTTCGAATAGCATCCACAAAAGATTGAGGACCATCACTGTATGAGGCTAAGGACCAACCAGCCTCCCAGCCATGCTCCAATGAGCTAGAAGAAGATTCAATTAGTGATTGCAGAGCAATAGACGATGCAGGAACATCAACCTTCACAATGGACATCATACATAGTATCATAAACCATATAGCATATATAGAAAATTTTCAAGTGCAACTAATTTTAAGCAATGACAATGAAAAACAGGCATAAACAAAAGCCTTCTGGTCCCACTAGAATGTAACATAACCGCCATTACAAACAGACAAGCATAATACCTTAGGCAAGCATCAAATTTAACATAACAATGATTTATTCTCACAAGAGAATTACTGCATGAATAGATGAACATTGATGTATTACACCAAGAGAAATAGAAAATAAAAGGTTCTCACGCATGCTAAATGACAAATCTACAAATTGGGGAGCTAAATGTCTACCAATGTTAAAAGTTGTGCAGATAACCAACAAGGAGCTTGCTTTTCTGACACTTTAGCTTCATCTTCCACCTCTGTCCTCCCCTATGGACCAAAACACAAACATCATCTCTAACCCAATAAAATGAAGCTCATCAGACATTAAATTACAATTGGAACATCATGTGTTGTATCTTATACCTCTACCATTATATCAATCTGAACACCAGGGATCAACTCGGGTTTGGCCTGCAAGATATTGATAGGAAAATAGACAAATAGAAGTTAAACAGCAAAACCAAAATTATAGTAGCTCAAATGTGGTTTATCTTTAATAAGTAAACATATATGTATTTGTATAGACATATACATATGTATACATAAGCACATATATAGCTCCAACCTGAGAAATGTTCTCCCTATGTTGTGGTGATAGAAATGGCTCAATAATAGATGCAACAGTCACCACCAATGCCAAACCGGGCAACGACCTCCCATCAACATCGCCTCCAATTTGGAGAGACTTTGGAGTAAAACGAAAAGAACCGGGCAATAACATGCCAGATGATGAAAGTGTCGTTTTGCCAGAGCTATACATTCAAAACCAAACAATGGGTACCTCAATTAAGTCCATGAGAAAGCCAAATACCATATCCTCATACTCCCACAGAGATAATATTGGATAAAAAATTTAGTTATCACTCACTTGTAATGATGAAAAGCATGTTTTCGCATCTTCAGACCTTTTGGGTCCTGAAATCAATGAAAAAATTATAACCCAGTTGAAATAAACCCAAATTAAATATCAGTAAATGATAAGTAAGCATATCAATGAAAATTTGTAATTCAAAAGCAACTACCAAAACTTAAATGACAGTAAATGATTAGCAAGCAGTCAAGCATAGCTTACATAGGTACTCACATACACAAACACCCTATGTACATGTGTGTGTGTATATATATATACGTATCTAAGCACAGAGAGAAACTACTCACAGGGCCTTGAATTCTGACCATGACGGCATAATTGCGGGCAACATCGACGATTTCGGGCAATCCCATGTCCTAAAGTTGGTTCGAGTCTGGAGGGTCTGAGAAGTCTAAAGCTAAAGCAACTCGAGACCGTGATATAGCTTGGAAGTGGATTGAATTTTGCTTTGCTGATAAATTGGATTGGAAGGATTGAATCGTTTGAACTGGCAAAATACCTATGGAATATATATATATATAATTTGGATTAAGTTTACGATCTAGGAGGCGACTAAAGGATGAACGACGTCGTTGGCCTCTTGGGGCACAAGTAGACTGCTTATTTTTAAAGGGTAATTTTTACTGACCTTTCCTATAATTTGCTATAATTACATCTTTTTCAGAAACGACGAAAATTAACAGCTACTATTTTTATTAAAATTTTTAAAATATCCTTTTCTATATAGTTAAATAAATATTATATTAAAAATATATATATATATATACTTGATATTCCAATTGATTAATACTTACGGGATTCAGAGTATTGGGTTCTTTGAAGCTTTCTTCGAGATAAGCCGACTTTTCCTTGGAGAGTCTGAGTTTCTTCCTAGTCAGGCCGTTCTCGTCCTCGTCGACGACGTCGTTTCCCGCCGCCGCCTGCGATGAGTCCCTCTTGTTTCCACCACCATCTGATCCGCCGCCTCTATAAATGCAGAAATCCATCTGAAACGACGACACCGCACTGTTCAGGGACGACACCGCCGCCCCTTCCTCCACCTCCGCCACCGCAGCCGGCGGCGGCGTCACTGTCACGTCGAAGCCCCTCGCCCCCATGTTTCCCGATGAACCCCCATCTGAACTCCCTATCAAAACCCCACAAAAAAAACAAATTAATTCAAACCCCTATCCGTCACCTGTGATGGCGACGAATTGTGGTGGTAGGTTTGAGACGGTGAGGCTGTGAGATGGCGACAGCGAGGATCTGAGACAATCTGATTTCCGGCGAGCTCGGACCTAAAAGTTCCGGCCGAAGGTGGGTACGATTCCTCCAGCACTGCAAGAGAATTTGGACTAGAAACATGAATTTGCTGATCTAGTCCTAGTTGAACTAGGGTGCCATGAATGCTGACCATGGATGGTACAATTTTGGAAATTTCTGTTATGTCCCCGCCGGTGAAGAGCTCGTTGCCCACCGCTATTCTGGTGATCTTCGTGGCCAGAATATATGTCTTTATGTGGGTATTAACTCTTCTCGCTTTCCAGGATTGCGCTTATCCTTCGCCCGAGTGCGATCTCCATCTTCGACCACCACCAATTTCCATTCAAAACGATCACAAATTTCCAATACACAGGAAAAAAAAAAAAAAAAAAATCTAGATTGCAGAACTTTTAACAAACTTGGAATCCGAAAGTGAAAAAAAAAAATGTGGATTCAGAGTTTGAAAAAAAAAAAAAAATTATCATCTTATCTCTCTTTCGCCGGTGGCTATTGTTTGACGCCGACAAGTATTTCCAACGCCGGTGAGCTTTTCTATTTTCAATGGTAGTCTCTTCAGATTGGTATTCAGTATTCCTTTTCAACCAATTTTTATGTTTTTGTGGTTCAAGTAAACTATTATTTGAGGTGATTAGGGTTTTGAATCATGATATTGGTATCGGTTTGTTTGATCTATTTTGATCAGTTCAAAACTAATGGTGTTCTCTCTTCTGTACACACACGAAAATTTTCATTGACATTTTGCTTTTAGAGAATATGACAAGCTGATGTCATCCCTATCCAGTAAGTGAGAGGGGTAGTTTAGTAATTTTAGATGTCAAGGAAGGGTATTTTAATAATTTTGACAACTCCGTTGATGTATTTAACGGTCCCTTACCCGTAAGGGAGGTCCATAATATTTTGAGAGAGAAAATATTACCCTTATAACATCATTCTATTCAATTTTACCCTTATAATACTATTTCTACTAAAGTTTTCTTTTATTAAAATAAAACTTAAACAAGAAATGTTCATCACTTAAGTAAAGTGTCTGAGAGATCAATATAATTTTGCAAACTTATCTTAAAATCGAAATAAACTTTTCATTTTGATTCAATGATGAGAATGGAAATAGAACAATTGCGACACATTGAATTTTTTATGATAAATTTGTTTTGAAAATATATATACATATTCCAAAAATAATATTTTGAAAGAGAAAATTGTGTGTTTTGAGTGTTTGACAAGAGATTAAACAAAATGAGGTATTCTGTCCTAACTGGCACCACAAAAATCTTGCACTTAATCTTCATAGAATGTAGTAGTTCTACAAAATTTCATTCATAGGGGTTAAATCACAACTAGGCTTAAAGTCATTTTAGCCTAGAGCTGAGCAGGGATACAAAATCTTAGAGGGTGGGAAATCTTAAAAACTGAAACAAAATCTCTCATATATAATTGGGCCGTTGTCAAAATTTTATTTCAGGTGGCATATTGAACATGATTAAACACAAATAATAATAATAATAATAATAATAATATAATAAAAGATAATTATATACCACTTAAATTATTATTTAATATAACATATTTCATTCCAAAAGGAAACTAGAATAATATGGTAATCATTATGTGGTCCTAGTCCATTGCAAATCAGGGAGCATTTTGTAAAACTTCACAAAACACACACATAACAATGGAGGGGAAAATAAAATAAAAAATCAAGAACAGCTGCCCCGAGCACACAGTGGTTCCAATATATATATATATATATATATATATGTATATTAAGATAAGAAGTTAGATTAGTAAATGTAGAGAATAAAAACTTGACACTCCAAAATCTACTAGATTACTCTACCATTTCAGAACATGTTACATTTGTATAGAATGTATAATTTTCTATTAAAAATAAAATAAAATTATCTAATGAATTGTAAGTTTTTTTTTTTTTGGGAGCGTTCTAGAATCCAATATTAGAATTCCCTTAGCATTCAATTTGAGACACTTGGGTGAGACAATCAAATCTTGTAAGGGATTATTTTTCATTTTCTTTGATTAGTTTAAATTTTCTAATATCTCTCACATGAAGCAAAATTTTGGGAAGGAATCCATAAGTTTTTTCAGAAAATACCGTATGGCTAAAGTGAGGACGAGTATACAATCGACAAAATTTGTGGTTGGTCCTTACGCTTTGTAAACAAAATTTAAAAAAATTACAAACACTATAACAAAACAATTATGGGATGAAAAAAATATATTTTTAAAACAATTTTTTATTTTTGAACAGTGTATTATTATTATTATTATTATTATTATTGAGTTGAACCAAATTTTTGTTTTTGGGTTTATGAGAACATGATGAAATTTAAAATAAAAAATAACTAACATTACTTACAAAAAAAAAAATAACCATGATAAATATAGGTTGTTCTTCCCACACAAAACATGAGACATACAAAAATAAAAATCACATAGATTTATGTCAGAGAAGTTTAGATTCAAATAAAAACAAATATGAAAACCTGACAAATATAATAATAACTCTACCAAAGCAATTTTAAAAATATTCAAGTATGTATTAGAACTAAATAGGATCACAAACAACTCAAAATTGAACCAAAAACCATTGAAACGCAATATATATATATATATATATATATATATATATATATAGTTTTGTTCTTTTGCAAATAACCCCTTAAATTATTAATTTGTTGCAATTAAGGACAATCGCATCACAAAATACTATTTTACCCATCCTCATCAAATTTGTAATTTATTATCAAATTATTTTTATTAGGACGAATTGCAAAAAATCCCCTCTACTATTAGCCAGTTGTGAAAAACCCTTATGAATATTTTTGGCAAAAAACTTCCATCAACTATCCCAATGGGGTGTTATTAACTAATGTCCGTTAAAATGATTGTTTGATGAATTTTTTTGAATGAATTTACCCCTTAACAGATTATTCTTCAAATAATTTTTTTTTTATTTTTTTTTTCTCTTTTCTCTTTCTCTGTCTAGCAAAGTATGTGAAGCAATAAAGATAATTAATAAAATAAAATTGAGTATGCATAGGAGAGAGAAAATTCATCCTAATGTTGGAATAGAAGATGGAAAAATTAAGCAATTCAATAACTCCTTTAGTACACTTTATCTTTAGCAGCCATTATAATAGTTACTTATTTTAAGGAAACTAATTAATAATTTGTCATGTTTCCTTAGTCCAATTTCTTTTTTTTCCTTAATTAAGTTATGCTATTGTAAGATAAGTAGATTAAAATTGAAAATTAAAAATAAACATAATTTCTTTTTCAAATTTGATTTTAAAAAAAAAAAATTACTTACTTGAGAACACAAAATATTCCAAATTAAGTAACTTTTTAAGACAAAATTATTATAGTTGATGTATTTAAGTTAAAAACTTATAATTATGACCATTTTTAACGTAAAAAGATATTATTTTTTATATTCAATTCACAATAATCTAATTATAAAGAATAATGCTAGGTGCATTAGCGTAATCTAATTATAAAGAATAATGCTAGCTGCATTAGCGTAAAGCGACTACAGAAGCACGGTCGCGGACGCGTCAGCAGCTCATTGGCTGCTGAATTTAAATTTTTTTCTTTTACATTTTCGAGGTCTTCTACTCTCTCGTCTCTTTCTCTCTCTAGCCTAACCCCATCTTTCCCCTCTCTCTCTCTCTCTCTCTGCGGACCCAAGCCAATATACCCAATGACTTCCTCCCCTTCTCCTTCATCGCTCCCAAGAAAAATCATAATCTTCGTATAGGAGATAAAATTTGTTTCATGTGCTCCTTTACTGTTTCTCTCTCAAACTGCAGACCCATTTTCGGAGAGATAAGTGATCTGGTGGTTGAAGCGACGGTCGGTGACTCCAACGAGCGAATCCGACGAGAAAATCGGGTGAAGTGATGACCGGCGACGAACTGTTTGGTCGTTCATCATTCGGCAGTGATGTTTAGATCGCCGGAGATGTTATTTGTTTTGATTGGTTCCGGTGCCGTTGCGACGATCTGCAACGAGCTGTCCAGATTCGTCACCGGAGGTGGAGATTTGTAGGCATCGGTGGCTGCTTCCTATGGGCAACGATGATGCGAGATTGTGGTTGCAGGTTAGATATAGTGGGTGGTTGCTGCTAGGGTGTGGTGATGAAGGAGAAGGGGAGGAAGTCATAGATAGATATTGGCTCCATAATGGGTCTGCGCAGGGAGAGAGAAAGAGGAAAGATGGGGTTAGGCTAGAGAGAGAAAGATATGTGAGAGAGTAGAGACCTCGAAAATGTAAA